TTCTTTCTTTCTTTCTTTCTCCTTTCTTTCTTTCTTTCTTTCTTTCTTTCTTTCTTTCTTTCTTTCTTTCTTTCTTTCTTTCTGTCACTCTCTCTTTCTCTAATTTGCTCTCTCTCTTTATTTCTCTCTCTCTCTCTCTTTCTCTTTGCTCCATTCTCCGTCTGTCTTCTCTCTCTCTCTCTCTCTCTCTATCTCTCTCTCTCTCTGTCTCTCTCTCTTCTCCCCCTCTCTCTCTCTCTTCTCTCTCGTTCGGACCCCCGTCCCAAATCTGCACACTCACACACACGCACACACACACACAAAGACACACACACACACACACACACACACACACACACACACACACACACACACACATACAAACAAACACACAATACTCACACGTAAACATACATGCCCACCCACATTCTCATGTACATGCACACATTTTTTGAGAATGCTCATGCACGCGCAAGCACCTGCGTACACATAACCACATGCACCCGCGCACGTACACGCTCACATGCATGCACACGCACAATAATATGTTACATTATTTTCTTTTTTACGTAGGTGAGTATTTTGTGTTGGGTTATCCATGAATAGATAAGGAAGCTTTAACCGTATGCAACTTTCTGGGCAATATGCCCCTTGGAGACTGAGATAATAGTATCGAACAATTGGGTAAGTCATGAACAACAGACACAAGCCATTTGAGTCACCTTCTTGGAGTAGACGTGGAGAGGGTGATCAAGTGAAAGTGGATGGGAGCGTTATCAGACCAACCCATCTCTCTATCATGTGACTACGAACAAACTAATGTAGCTGCAGCACATCGAATAACTTGAGAAAATAACAAAGTTGTGTTAAAACTTCAACATAAGGAATGTACAATGGACGTTTCGGGCAAAGAATAGCAAACACGAAATACGCCTACTTCAATTACTTGAATGTAGAACTGGGGTCTTAGGAAGACAGGGTGCTCCATGCTTCCTCGCCCCTCTTCGTGAGGGTCCATTTCAGTGTGGGCAGGCTGACAGTCTCCATTAAAATACACCTTTTCTGATAATATTGTGTAACACTTAATTACATATACTAGACATTAATTCCTGACTGAACAGATTGTCTTCTGAGTCTTACAATGATTTTACATTGTTTCGGCAGGTGTATATGGAACCAAGCCTCACCAAGGCCATTGTGGGTATGGTGTACACATGGTACAGATGGCGTAGATTTTACTATATCTACGACCAGTTAGATTGTAAGTATCGGCAACTGATGTATTTTCGATCGTACAGAACTGTATTATTTTGTTCATCTGTTACAAAGGTTATTTCAATTTGATTTGCTCTTTAGGAACTGGAAACAATAAAACATAGTGTTTGCTCATTCTTATGACTGCTAGTTTGATAGGAGACGGTTTCTCGTTGACAAGATCAAGTGCAGTTTCATTTTGTAAACGGGGACTTTAATGGCTCTGAGAAAAAAAAGGGATCCAACATACGCTATGCCTCTAATAAACAATTTTCCTTCTTTATACTGCTCACATAGATAATGATGAAAATTGTTTTAGTACGTCGAAATAAACGTTATTATGCCTGTTCAACCCAAACATGTATCATGTTCCACACACCCAGTGTTCGAAAACATAAACCAGTGTTCCTTTATCCCAGGTCCTCATTCCACTCTTGACCTGTTCTTTGGGATCTTTGACCACGAAACGTTTCTTTCGTTAACTATAGCGTGTACCCATTCTCAATTGGGTGAAGTGAGGAAAATTCGTTTAAAACACCTTTCCAGTTGACCTGATGTTGGGCTCCAGACGGGATTTGAACCCTCAATCTCACGATTGCAAGTCCTTGAGCCAAAACATCAGTGACAATGTTAAGAAAACACTGGCGTTTACGACCAACTCGTTTGTACAAGTGTTGTGCAATGTGAACTCGAGTTTATTTTTTTCTTTAAAAAAATATTTTAAAATTCTCGTCTTCCATGAGAAAACGCTGACGCCTTTTACGAAGAGTGTTTGATCTTGCCAAGCATTGTTGTTAAAATTCGTTGAACAGTTACAGCTTTAGATTTGCTTACAATTGCAATGATTTCTTCACACATTCTGCTTCTATCTATTTTCTTCAACAGGAGACTCTACTTTCTGAACTTTTGTGTGTGTGTGTGTTTGCGTGTGTATGTGTGTGTGTGTGTGTGTGTGTGTGTGTGTGTGTGTGTGTGTGTGTGTGTGCAGTACTGATACGTCTCCCTTAGTTATCTTGATCTTCGATTTCAGATCTTCCATTTGGAACCTTTCCAAATCCAATTTCTAACGCTTTGAATTGAAGAGACCTGCATGCCCAAAGCTTTATCTAAATCAAATTTAAATCGTGTTTCAGTTTCAACAGCAGATTGATCGAACATAACACAGACGCTTAAAATAAATCAAGTATCCTATCCTGAAAATGTTATGAAGATATTTTCTTCCACAATTTTCATACGTTTACACTTTGGAAATTGATGTATAATGTTTAGACATGTTAAAGCCTAAGCATAGACTTGAGTTTTAATATCCTAGACTGGGCACTGTCATACCACCTCCCCCTCAATGTTCAAAGAAAAAAAGCTTCGCTGCACTGGTGCGAACTATGGGTACGAAACACCAGTCTCACGATAGTTGATGGGGCGCACAACCTTTCCCTCCATACCCTTTATTTGGTTCCAATTGGGTTGAGTTCCAATTATAGTCAACCAGTAAGTCCCATGGTGCCGCAGAATTATGTCATAGTGCACAAATTTGGTTATAATAATACATCTTTACAACCTCAAGTCAAAATATTATGATTACTGCTTTTGGCTCATGCACATAAGTATATCTTTGACATAAGATGCCAGCGTTGTTGACACTATGGTTTTGAAGTTACAGCGAATGGAAACTGTTCATCTTCCGAAAAAAAAATCAGTTACCTCTTTAATCGATCAGTGTAATCGCTTTTGTAATTGTTTGCTTGCATGCCTGGTTGATTAATTGATTTATTTATTGATGTTGCGTGTGTATGCATGAGAGGGTAAATGGGTGAAAGACTGAGTGAACGAGCAATTGAGTGAGTGGGAGAGTGAGAGTGAGAGTGAGAGAATGAGAGAATGACTTGATGGACAAAGGGTGGAGCGATAGAATAATCAATTGATAAGACTGATTGGTGGGGGATATGACCATTGCAAAATAAGTACATATTTCTTTGAGATTAAAGACACAATAATGCAATAATAAAACATAAATAATTTATCCCAAAGGTTTTTGGGAAAACAGTTTTTTTATGAGGGAAGGAGGGGTTATCCCCTGACTCTTTAAAGGAAGTAAATTCTTTGTTACGCTCCCCGCAGCGATCACAAGGATAGAACAGACTCACGACTTTCTGCACGAGTTCCCGCGTGACTATCGCTACGCCACACCAGATGTCCAGCCTCACAGAGTGGACGGGGCGCACCAGTGCCTCAGGCTCCTACTGGACATCTTCGAGAACAATCGAGGGGAGGACGTCCGAGTGGTGTTGGACATTCCGCCCGAGGACACCCAGTGGGTCATCACGCAGCTGGTGGGTCACGCTTGGTTACTTTTTGATTAACATCCCAGACTTGAAATGTCTGTGCTAGCCTCAGTAGGGTAACGATTATGCATGTAAAAGTTGAGAGTTCGATCCCCCAGCGGGGTTATGTTTTTGTCTGGCATTATCATGTATTTGCTGTAGAACACCTATCCACCAGGGTTTCAGCCGCTCCTCTTCTAAAAGATCTAAACGTAAAACACCAGAAGAACATTTTGCCTGTTTTTTAAATTATATAGTATAAAGAACTACATTGGCATCAGGCGCGGTTCGTCCATAGAGCACGGTCGTGCAGTGCGGCCCAAAATGTTTTAATGTTCTATGACGTAAAGCACCCACAATAAAAAAAATTAAAAGACGCAAGAAACAAACACTAGCCAAATATTATATCAAAACAAGGCCCTCGCTGGCGCCGTAACTGTCATTTCTATTCTATAGCGCCGTAAAACATCTAA